TCGATTCATGTACGCATAAATAACTGTAAAAGTGGTGCTGATGTTTTGCTTTGAACTGTTGTTCTGGTTGTGTTCATAGACTGGCACCAAATCTGCACAAGCAAGGCTTCAGTAGGATGATTCACAAAAAGTAATCTTATGCCAACATCAGCATGGCAAAACCAACTGCAACCGCATTGATGCAAAATTTATCCGTACTTAATGCCCATGCATTTTTCCACAGAAAATCTTCCATTTTAAAATCACCAAACAGAAAACCGAATGTAACAGCTGAATTTGAATGTGTCACTCCAAGTAACCTACACCTGCACAAACGCGATCGCGCTTTACAAATACACAAAGCCTAAAAACACAAAAAGAACATCAGCGTCACTTTCAGGGCTTTATAAATGCACTGAAAATCGTTATCGAGTCAAAGCGCTTCCTTAATTGTATGTCATGAATTCGCTTAAGGTAGCCGTTTTCTGCTGGCTTGTTGTAGCTGCAGCAACGCAGTCGTTTCGTCAAAACGGTGACAAAAATCAGGTTATTTATTCCAACACAGCTTTCAAATGCCCTGTTGCTTTACTAGGAAAATGAATCAGAGAAATTACAAAATTACCCAACCTCGATTCGCTGTTCTCTATCAAAAATCTCATTTTGACTAAGACAAGGATCTTTTCATCTGCATTTTAAGCATTATTTCTGTATGGCTTTTGGAAAATTAGAAGCATTTGCACAAAATCTACTTTTCAGAAGCATGAGAGTGGAAAGCAGGAACAATTTCCCGGCAATGGAAATCAAGGACAGTTCTCAGGTAATGGGAATCAGGGACAACGCCCAGGTAATGGTAATGAGGGACAGCGCCCAGGTAATGGGAATCAAGGACGATTTCCCGGCAACGGAAACAAAGGACAGTTTTCAGGTAATGGAAATCAGGGGCAGCGCCCAGGTAATTGGAACCAGGGACAATTCTCTGGCAACGGAAATCAAGGACAGTTCTCAGGTAATGTAACTCAGGGACAGCGCTCAGGTAACTGAAAAAAGGGACAATTTCCTGACAACGGAAATCAAGGACAGTTTCCAGGTAATGTAACTCAGGGACAGCGCCCAGGTAATTGGAACCAGGGACAATTTCCCGGCAATGGAAATCAAGGACAGTTCTCAGGTAATGGGAATCAGGGACAACGCCCAGGTAATGGTAATGAGGGACAGCGCCCAGGTAATGGGAATCAAGGACGATTTCCCGGCAACGGAAACAAAGGACAGTTTTCAGGTAATGGAAATCAGGGGCAGCGCCCAGGTAATTGGAACCAGGGACAATTTCCTGGCCACGGAAATCAAGGACAGTTCCTAGGGAATAGAAACCAGGGACAGCGTCCAGGTTATGGAAGTCAGAGATATTTTCCTAGTGGAAATCAAGGACAGCGCATTGGTAGTCGAAACTAGGGACCATTCCCAAGCAGTGAAAAGCAATAGCGTTCCAGAGAATAGGGTTAGTGTTCACCAGCAATTTTTTAAGCCTGCAAAATGAAAAAACTTGATTTTTAAGGATTTGTCCAAGTGTAGTGTGAGAGAAGGTATGAAGTAGAGTATGTCACGAACTGTAGCTATTACTCTGCAAAACAAATTTTTTTTTAACACTGTCGTTTGGGTCTGAAGAGAAGTATGGTGAGAAGAAATAAGACAGTAATTTGATGCTTTTATTTGGTATTGAGGAATTCTTAGAACTGATTAATGACCATTTTCTTTTAGTTTTGGCAAGACTCTGGACGTGCTTCGATAGGAACGTTGAGTATGCATTTTTGAATTGTTGGAAACAGCGTCGTATTCTATCCCTAATAAATGATTTTTACTCGTCATTGCTTTTGTCGCAAAATTAGAAATCTTTATAAGTACGGCTTTATACCGCGGAGTCACTGTTTAGAACTCTCTGAGGATTAGCTGCATCTTTGACAAGGGAATTCTTTTTGAAACAATTGTTTAAAGTGGACTGAGAAGAAACAAAAGAGGAGGAGGGATGCGGTTTTCAGCCTGGAGGTGTTATTCACCGTGTTCTTTACCACTGTGCTAAAGGCTAGTGAAGTTAGTACACGCTGTAGCGTTTTTGCGAGAGCTTACCGGTGTTCTGTAAAAATCTTTGCCGTGCACAAAAATGTTTGAGTAGTTTAATATATAAAGGGAAAGGTCGTCATTGTAAGCAGTGCAAGAGGATTAAATAAATGACAGC